TGTTAAATGATGCAGAAAGGTGTTTCCATAACATGCCCACCTGAGATTTCTAGTTTAGTGCAGACAAGAAAGAAGACCCACGAAACTCGCGGGGGGGGGAGCTCCAAACTGAGCTGCCGGAGGAGGAACCAGCAGGAGCAGGTAAGCTTCCCCCCCCATCCTGCCGGTTCCTCCCTGTCCTCCACCCCCCGCTGGATCTCCCCCCCGCCTGCTTCCTCCCCAAGCGAGGGCCACAGGCTTGCAGCCGCCTGGGCCTCGGGATCGCTCTTGCACCCGGCCGGCTGGGTCCGAGGCGGCGGCGGCTGCTTCCCCCCCACACCGAGGCTGGCGGCTTGCAGCTGGCCGGGCCTCGCGTCCTCCCTTCCTCTCTTGCTTCCGGCCAGCTGGCTTCAAGGTGGCGGCAGCAGCAAGGCATGTGCAGGGAGCGCTCTGTCAGTTTTGGGGGGATTTAAGTACCCCCCGTGTTTTTTTAACTTTTCACATTTTTGTGCACACCTGGGGACCACCCCACGTGTGCACAAAACTCCCCCTCCCCCCCAAGTGCCCCCGGTGCGCGGATTTAAGGATCCGCACAGAGGGGGCCACTTCACTATTAGATATATTGATGTGTATTATCCAGTTTCAGTACATGGAAATGGAACACTGGATTTTTGAGAGTGTGTCTTTGTGTTCTTTAAATTAGACCATACACTGGGAAACATATGGCTTGCCCTATTAATAAAAAGGGGGTGACCATGTGAATTGGGAGGAGAACAAGTAGTACACATTCCTATTATGAGTGGCTGGTATGCCAAGATCAAATGTCTACACAGGACTTTTGCTTCCTTACCTGAGTTTACCGGGCCCCTCATGGGGCTTGGCAGTGGAGCTGCAAGGCTGGCGGCGGTGGCCAGGACCGTTGGGGTCGGGGTGTGTGGCCTTATGACACACTTCCGGTGATGTCAGGGGGTGTGGCTTTATGACACACTTCCGGTGATGTCAGGGGGTGTGGCATATGCTAATGAGGTATGCTAATGAGTTCCCCTAGCTCTTTTTCTACGAAACGACCCCTGTGCCCACCTGAGATTTCTAGTTTAGTGCAGATGCGGGGTAAAAACAACAACATAATAAACTTCGACAACATAATCATCTCATCACTTGGCGGGATGAAACATACATCTAGCATGTCCTGCAGATATACACTGGTAAGGCTACTGTCTCATAAACAGTCACCTGTATTCACTCACTGTCTTTTCAGGAAGATGCGATAACCCAAGATGAGGGCAAACACACGACTGAGGGCAATGCTTAGAACTTGACAGGAGACATTTCGTTCTGAATCCCACATCAACACATCTTGCTAGCCTGTGGCTACCACTTAAAGCAAACACATCCAATTGTCCTGTGCCTTTCAAGAAGAAGCAGGGCTCTTTTTGTAGAAAAAGCCCAGCAGGAACTCATTAGCATAATAGGCCACACCCAACAGCAGACACTCATTAGCATATTAGGCCACACACCCTGACAGCACAGCTCATTAGCGCATTAGGCCACACCCCCATGTTACCAGAAGTGTGGTCATCCAGCCACACCCACCTTTTGCTTGTTATTCTGTTTACCTTGTTTGTTGTCAAAACCCAGGGCCTTTTTTTGGAGCAGGAGCTCTTTTGCATGTTAGGCCACACACCCCTAATGTAGCCAATCCTAACGAGTTCCTGCTGTTGGGTGTGGCCTATTATGCTAATGAGTTCCTGCTGGGCGTGGCCAACTTGGGAGCCATCTGGAACTCCGTTCCTGTGCATTCCGGCCCAAAAATAGCCCTGAGAAGAAGTATCATGACATAGGGTTAGATGACACTCTATACCAGTGAAGGTGAACCTTTTAGAGACCGAGTGCCCAAACTGCGACCCAAAACCCACTTATTTATTGCAAAGTGCCACCACAGCAATTTAACCTGAATACTGAGGTTTTACTTTAGGAAGAAAACCACTCATACATTAACTTAAGATGATCCAAACAAAGTAAGAAAAGCAATCCCAAATGCTTTCATTGACTTAAAATTATTTGGCAGAGAATTCGACACTTTAATGATGGTCTGGGCCTGGCTGGGGCGATGGCACACGTGCCCACAGAGAGAGCTCTGAGTGCCACCTCTGGCACCCATGCCATAGGTTCGACACCACTGCTCTATACCAATCCATCAGAGTGAGGAGTGTGACTGTTTCAGGGGCAAGCAAGTAGAATGGAGGATGCTCAAGTCAGCTGCTAGGAAGATGGCTGGATGCTGTAACTTCAGGATTAGTGGAAGCAGTACTTGCAAGAAGTAGTGGATAGATGCAAGTTCAGGCATGGTGTAGGACTGCTTTTTGTTTGAGGAGGAAGGCACATCCCAGTGTGAATGCACTATATCAGAAGCCACCCATTGCAGGATGATAAGACATCTAGCTGCAAGTCAAACAGACATCTGCCCTTTTCACGAGGGCAGTCTAGACAGAACGCACATACATGCGTGCCCGTGTGTGCAAACAACCACCTGAGGTGATTTTGCAGAGGGCCTATTGTTGCTGAAGCATTAGAACATAGTGTTTGTATGCTTTGCCCTTGACCACTGCTGACCAAAAAAATGACTGCAGCATCTCATTTTCTTCCTGGCTCTGTTTTCCTTTGTCTGTAGGTCTTGCATGTGGGTAAACAAAGAAGCATGGCCAACAATAGCAACAATGGCTATTCTATTAAAAGGATGAGAAAATAAACTATAATTACAAGGCACAGAGTACTGTGGTATCAGCATACCATTGTTTAGGCAAAAGCAAACACAGTAAGGAAGTTGGGAGGTAGGAGCTGACTGCCTCACTGTGCATAATATTTTTCCTTTATGTTGAAGTTTTTATGGGCTTTTAATACATACTAAATAAAACCTGAAACTGCCCAGAATTCATGATGCCACATTTGCCAACTGTGGACAGATGCTGCTACTGTTAACATGCTTGCATATACTTCACAAGTTTTAGACTGGCATGCTCTGTTTTAGCAAATGTTAAACAGTGCAGTAGCTGCTACTCAGCTGCAGGTGCAGTTAGAGGTTTCGTTGGAAACAATTTGAGCACTAGAGGAATGGAAAAATCAGGAAATAGCTAGCTCAAGACAGGAGTTTGACTCAGAGAAGTATAGCAATTCACAGGGTTATTTTTGGGCAGGAACGCACAGGAACGGAGTTCCGGCTGGCTCCCAAGTTGGCCACGCCCAGCAGGAACTCATTCGCATAACAGGCCACACCCAACAGCAGACACTCATTAGGATTGGCTACCATTAGGGGTGTGTGGCCTAACATGCAAAGGAGTTCCTGCTCCAAAAAAAAGCCCTGGGTTTTGCCAACAAACAAGGTAAACAGAATATGAAGCAAAAGGTGGGTGTGGCTGGGTGACCACACTTCTGGTAACACGGGGGTGTGGCCTAATATGCGAATGAGCTGTGCTGTCAGGGGTGTGGCCTA